AGTTTCGGACTCAGTTCAGGTAATGTACACCTTAAAATATTTGAGTGAGGAAATGCATAATCTATTAGTGTTCTTGGGCGGTTGGGTGAAAGGGCTTGCAGCTATACACGTAGATGTGCACCCTAATGAAGCCGCCATTTTTAATCGGTGCCCTTGAAGCGAGCTGTCAGATTGGCGTCGTAGTACTTCTAAATTGGAACGTTAAATACTTCCGGGTAGCTTTCCGGTCGTTCTTAACGAGACTAATAATTTAATTACTTTTTAATTTGTTCTTCCTCACTGAGGGTAACAATATTAGATGAAAGAATCAGTTAAGTGGAACGCTTTAATTTCAATTAGATTTTTGTTTCGTTTGAATCAAGGCGTTCAAGACAAGTCCCGTTTCAGTATCGAATTGCGACAGAGTTAAATTCGCGTGTCTTGTAGCATCTTAGCTATCGCAAAGCTGCTTGTGTCGTTACCATACGTACGGCACCTCGGCTACGAAAGGTATTCGAGGATATAGAAAGCTCTTAGCGGCAAGACAAAAAAAAAAAAAAAACATGTAGAAAGGACATGTGGCGATGCCATCGGTAACATTCCGCTGAGCAAATTTCTACATGTTGCGTAAAGGCCCCACCCCCCGTAGTTGGAAAGCCTGCAATGATTTGAAAAGTGATTGCAAGAGCTTTGTGTTCAACTGCTATGCGGCGAGGAAAATGCGAACTTTGTTTTATGGCGCTTTGATTCCGAAACGTGGAAAGGCGGCGTACAGTCGTGGTGTAAACGAATTTTGTTCGATTCAACGTGAAGGGAAGAAGAGCACGATGTTGAAATAACCCTACGGTAGTATAAGACTTAAAAAAATTAAAAAAAAAAAAGATTTTGCTAGCGTCGTGATTTTTACAGTATGGAGTTTGAACAGAGAGAAAGAGAGAGAGAGAGCAATAAATGAAGCGTAGTCGAGTCAGAACTGTCTCACAAAAGCTGTTAAAAGCTGCAGTTAACCCAGAACGACACAGTCCGGCCTCAGTGCACCTCCATCTTGCTCATTGGGGTGCGTTTGGACGCGTCATAATCTGATTACGAAGCCTTGCTAAGGCGTCGTAATCGGGTTATGGCAGCGCCAAAGCGCACCCCAATAAACAAGATGGCGGCGCCCTGAGGTCGGACTTTTAAGCAACGCAGGCCGTGGCTCATTGTGTTCTCGCTTTTTGATTGGTTCTTTAAGCGTTGTTATCTTCATATGCTACGATTTCATTGGCCGCGGAGCTATATTGCTCCAGCCCCCCCCCCCCCCCCCCCCCTTTTTCCCACCCCGCCCCCTCCAAAAAAAAGTTCCTAGCTACGCTACTGGAACATGGGCAATAAGACTTGTACGTAATCCGCTACAAATAACGAAATTACTTGTAATCCCTTACAGTTACCAGTAATTTCGTAACGGAATAGTTACATATTTACATAAATAAATGTAAAGTTTTTTTTTTTGTTCGTTTGTTTGTTTTTACGTAACGGCGTTGTTGTAAATAGTTACTTTTTATTCACAACCCCCCTCCCACCGAAAAAAAAAGGAAGAAAGAAAGAAAGTGTTCATTTTGCAAAATCGATTGCAGCGACGTTGTGTGCTACAAACAGAGCCTTTCCTTACTACGTCAAGCCCCTGAATCTTTTTTTATTTTCTGCAGACCCTAACAAAAAAAATCATAATATCCTCTTTTTGTTGTTGTTGTTTAGATTGAAGACGGGGAGAACAGGACACCTCCGAAAAGCTCGAAGCATTTGATAATGAGTACAGGGGTTATTTCCACAAGCATTTTGTTCGTTCTATAAATAGTATGCTTGTTTGTTTTGTTTTTTTGAAAAAAAAAGGGGGGGGGGGGGGGGTATTTACTACTTTTGAAATCCAATCTCTAGGGCTGGCCCACTTTATTTCCCTTTTGTCACCCTTTTTGTCTTTCAGGTATTTCGTGAGAACTTCGGAAATGGTAATGGCCCTTTTTTATCTACTGTTTTTACCTTATCAGGACATCATCTTTACCTCAAACACAAATTTTTGGTAATGAAAAAAAAAAAAAAAATGGTAGTTGATGTAGGCTACATATTCTGGGCTTGAAGAGGGAGTGTAACTCGCGAGTGGGGCTTAGTTCTCTACCCTTCGCTGCCCGTGGTCTCAGTGGACGCGTCTACCTCGAGAACGCTGGAGTACACTACTGCCGGCCCGCGATCTTTGCATTTTTTAACGGCACTAAGAAAGGTATACGTACGGCAAAGGCGCGTTTACATGTTTGAACCAACGCTCTAACTAATTGTTTTCTTTAGTGTCCTCGTTTTTATTTCTTTATTACATGTATTTATATCGAAACGAAATGCATTCTCTCATTCACCAACGCCTCAAAACCGAGGCTTGACCCGTTCAGAGTCAAAGGAAGAAGAACAGACTAGACCGAAGCATAATGTATTCTTTAATTGTCACGTGTAACTACCCTGTCTTACTAACTTCGTTGGCTACCGTCTGGCGATATTTTCCGGTGCAGATAGGTGCACATAGGGAGCCTTCATGTGCGCTTTGCTAGGGTGATGCCACCCTTTGTAATACCACTCGCCGACAAACCAGCAGCCATTTTGTTCCTCGGCGATAATCCGTGGGGCTTATAACCCTCCCGGAAACAAGCACCTTATCTCAGAAGTTCGGAGCAGCGTTGTGGAACCCACGGAGGGAGGATTAGCATTTTCCCCCTCGGATGGGATTACCGATGGACACAAAGGCCACTTTCCGGCGCACGGGGAAACAATGAGAGAAACAAAATGGCGATGGAAGAGGGTGTGGGAAAGGGAAACAGGCAGTTGGCATCACTCTATGCGAAGCGCACATGAAGGCACTCTAGGTGCACATTTGGTCTGACCCCATTTGGTCAGTCCTATGACGCCTTCTACAGCTTCGCGAAGGACCATTTGAGATAGTCGCCGGTTCGGGAGGGTCTGGAAAGGAGCGTCCCAGAGGGAACTTGGGTGCGAAGCGAGAAGCCACAATAGAAACAAAAGATACTTTGGGGCAGCTCACCGCAGCTCAGTAGAGCCGGCCGGATCTTGGTTCCGTGGTCCAGGGAGTGCCCGCGCTCGCTCGAGCACGTTTTCACGTATTTTTACGCCAGAACCTCTGAACCTCGTTTTCTTTTCTGCCAGTAATGACAGTATCTGGCACCGGCTGCGACGACGAAGCTTTGCTCTTTCTTCAGATCACGTCCATCGCTTTGCTGGAGAAGCCCAATGCAGTTCATGAAGCATTCGTGAGGTACACTGTGCCTCCAGTGCCTCAGTTGAAAGGGAGATCAGTGATAGGAGTGGACCTCCTCGCGAAGAAATGAGGCAAAGTATCTGACGAGACTTTCGAGAGCCAGCTGTTGCTCAAAGTACCACAATAAGCTCTAGAATGGCCCTCCTTCCTCTGTTCCTTACTTGAGGAGAGTAATGTTTGAAGTAACGCCACGAAAGTAACGGATTTCGTTTTGGGGTAACGGTCTCTTTCCTGTATAAAAGGGTAATTGTAATTAATGACAATTTAGCTTTGAGTAATTGTACATGTAATTTCTTACTTTTTTAGTAATGTCTTCAAGTCTGGCAACGTGTGTAACAAAGTAGCGGGACATCGGCGCATGAATTTTCGACAACATATTTTCCGATATATTAACCCTGTCGTTATGACGAAATAGGCGTGTCTAGCGCAGAAACGATTGTACTCCAGCATTCCTGGCCTGAGGAGTGGCTTCAACCGTCGGCGGAAACAAAAGAAAAAAGAAAATAGCTGCATATTTGACGAGCACGCTGAAGATCAGCAACCGTCAACTTCTTCCGATTGTTCGATTCGGCGAAAAAACCCCGGAAGGGTTATTGACGTCACAAGAAAGATCTCGTTGACAGCGATCATCCAAATAACAATAACGTCATCGAAAAACAAATAAAGATCAAAAGCAGGCAACAATATATGCTAGGGTCAGAGTAATCGATCTATTTTCGTACCCCTCCACTTTCTTTCTTTCATTTTTTTTTTCGTTGTCAATTTGAATGAGATCTGAGTGCCTTAAAACTGCTGTCGCCAATTCAATTGCTTCCAACTTCTACAGAAAGTACCTTGCAAAAAAATATTTAAAAAAAATACGGATTGACGAGATCTTCAGCACATTCGACAGAATTCTGTATTCTTACCCTTAATAATACCCCAAAAAACCTTATCACCGTAACAAAAAAAAAAAAAACAAAAAAAAAAACGGACAGGCACATTATTAATTAAGGAGGAATAAACGCTAAACCTGAAGTGCCACTCTCCAAGCACCTGTGAATTAAAATGAGGCATTGCAATTTTTACGCAGGGCGAAACATAAGCCAGTGTTTAATTGCGGGGCACCATACTAATATAAGTTTTTTTTTTTTTTTTTACTGAATATACATAACGTTTTTAATCGCTATCGCATAAGAAAACGAACAGAACAAATGAACTTGTAACTGTTTTCGCGTAGCCAGTAGAAAAAGATACACCATCTGTTCAACTCCAAGGGCACGAAGAGGTCACAACACGGTCAACTAAAATAACTTAAAAAAAAAAAAAGACTTTTCACAACTCATATTTCACTAAGCATTCTCGTTATAGCAGAGCGCCGTTTAATTTGTTTTCCTTTTTTATTTTTTCAGTGGACAAACATTTTAATAGCTCAAGCTTCAGTTATGCAATTTACAAATAATTTGCCGTACAGCCAAGAAGGAGATCTGAACATATTTTCATGAAACTCCCTTTTCCCCGCCATTTTCTCATTTGACGCGGAAACCAATGAAACGCTTTACGCTGGCCTGACGTCGTTCTGAACAGCCCAATCACTAACCAGCTTTCGTTTTCGATTTCAAAGGCGAAAACTGACCGCAAGCCGTTGAGATATGCAATAAAAAAAAAAAAAAAAAAATCGATAAACTACTTGCACAGCTGGGGTATGTCACGGTATAAATTTAAAAATATCGAAGGACGTACTCACCACAAGGATCATAGTTCCGATGAATTCGTTAATTAGTTCGCGGATCAGTCTGCTCTCGATCTTCATCTTGCGACGTGTGTCTTGCTCGCGACCCTTTGAAAATACGGCGGCCTTGTTCTTCGATGATGAAACACACGCGGACGCGCACACCTAACCTGTGGCTAAGACGCGGGGTCGATGGAATTCGTCAGTTGGACCTCATAACGACGCGTTCCTGGGCGGCTCGGTCATGCCGAATTCCTCCGATGATTTGAAGGCTCGAATCGCTCGAAATTGCTCTTGCCCCGATCCGCCGACTGACTGCGGGATGCGCGAGAGCTCGTGAGAGCTGCGGCCTCTCGCGATTCTCGGATGTAGTGCTGCGATTCGGGCTCCCGCGTTGCAAGTTCTGGTTTTCATCGGCCTTAGTTCCGCTTTCCGACATAGCGCTGCGCTCCGGTAGCTTAATTTAGAAACTTCCTCAGAGATGGCGCCACCTAAACATATTTAAACACATACCAGATGGCGCCACCATCCCGTTGGAATTTATTTTTCGTGTTGGGCTCTCTTTTCCCCCCCCCCACCCCCCCCCCCCCCCCCTTTTTTTTTTTTTTTTTTCTCTTCCGTACTTTAAGTAGAGTGACCACCTGTCCCGCGACTCGCGTGTCTGTCCCGCATTGAGGGCTCGTGTCCCGCGTCCCGCGAGAACTTCTCAAATCTTCGAAATGTCCCGCATTTCACACTGTCGTAAAATTCACACTGCAACTCATGGTGCTGCCGAACAACGGGGCACGGGGAAGCGCGTAGGTCGCTGGTAATGGTGTGAATCGCATGGGTACGCCATTTTCTATCCAAGCATTGCGGGAAGCGACCGTCGTTCCTGCAGTAAAACCGACGCGCTTGCTCCGTTGCGCCTCTTCCCTTGGTGGCAAAATATTGTAAGAAAAATTGCTCGCCATAATTTTAAATATAAGATACTGCAATTATTTTTATATCGCTGTGTCAAAGCGAAAGGTTTTTGCCGTAGATTTATTTTTTTATTTTTTCGTGAAGACAACTACACAAGGGAAAAAAAAACTGCAACTCACAAGGGTCGAAAAAGAACATACTGTTAAAAATTTGTGTACACTCTAAAAAAAGCCTGTGCGTCTACTTTCCCGTACAGCACTCGGAGACCCAATCACCGCGAGTTACGGAGGCAGCTCAGCGAATGGCGATGCCGAAACATATGTTTAAACCAAAAAAACGAAGTCTGAGTTGTGACATTACGCAAGGCAAAACGTCACGCTTGCATTGCTTAATGTAAAAACTCCTACTGCGTTCCTCGGTCTAAACATATGTTTCGGCGTCGTCATTTGCTGAGCTGCCTCCGTAACTTGCGGTGATTGGCTCTCCGAGTGCTGTGCGGGAAAGTAGACGCACAGGCTTTTTTTAGAGTGTAGCACCGTGTTGATAAAAGTAAGCGTTGGCAGGAAACAATAACCAGAAAAATATTTACGGTTTCTTATTTCCATTTGATGCATTGAGTTCTCCTTCAGTTTATTTTTATGTTTTAGGTTTGGACGCACATTTGGCATAAAAAAAAAAGTATATCACTGGGAGTAAAAATTACATACTCCACTTTTCTGTACATATGCCTGGCCTTCATGTGACACGACTGTAGCTGTCAGGTAGCACCCTAACAGTTCCAAAAAGGAATCAACGTTCACTCCGGTCGCATTTTGAAAAGGTGACACTCCTTGCTTCTCAATGCTGTCCCGTAGAATCGGCATGATGCTTGCGTGTGGAATTGAATAATACATGTCTTTTACGTCAATAGAAAAGCCAGAGGTCACATCTTTTCCATTTTCCTGTAGAAAGGAAATTAGTTGTTGTGAGTTCTGAATTTTGTAGGGGTCTTTTGAACTGTAATTGAGATAAATGCTTGGCTAAATAGCAGTTCCTTTTTGGAACTGTTAGGGTGCTACCTGACAGCTACAGTCGTGTCACATGAAGGCCAGGCATATGTACAGAAAAGTGGAGTATGTATTGGATCCCGGGTAGCTCCTCACCTCTGCGAAGTAAAAATTATTTGAGCTGAATTGCTGAGCCTGCAATACAATTAGAAGGTGTATAAACAGCACAGGATATTAAATGTGTTAACAGAGCCTCGGTTCGTAGTGTGCGCGTTAATAAATTTCCTCTACCCCCCCCCCCCCCCCCCCCCCCCCCCCCTGACCTCCCGCCCTCACTGCCCCGCTGTCCCGCATTTCGCTTGCAGGAAGGTGGTCACCCTAACCCCAAGTAGTGGACAGCCCAGCCACCTGTACAAATAAAAACCTTGCCGAGCTTAAATACCCAGTCAGTGTCCCTTTAAGCTGAAACGAAGTATATTTTAGTTTCTAGAAGTCGATCTAGAAAGCTAGGTAACCCAGGTGGCGCTGGCTCAAGCTAGCTCAAGCAACTCATAGGCTCAAAAAACAAAATTATTTATATATATATATAAAAAGCCTAAATATGAGAGCTTGGGCGATTGTCTTCGAACTTTGAAGGCCTGTATCTTATAAAACATTTGAATCGCATAAATAAATTTTCAATAGCATCCCCACACACACAAGTATAAAATGATGAAAAACATGATAAAATAATAAAATAATAAAGTTAGGAAATAGAAACTGCGTACTAGGTGTTTCTTTTTGTCAACGCAGAATGCTGCATTCCGACCAGCGGCGTAGACTTTCCATTTAACCGGGGGGGTCTTTTCCGCGGAATTTTTATTTACACCGGCAACTATCAGTAGTTTATTTTAGGGGGTACATTTTACAGCGTATGTACATCACCATGTGTCCATCGCAGTGTGCGTTATTTTGTTTACATGCCACTACTAGAAGCTCGTTACATGGCACGTAAACAGCGTCTCGGTAAGGATCTTGGCCCGGGGGGGGGGGGGGGGGGGGCGGGGGGGAAGGGCTCTGCTTTCCCCCCCCTCCGGATGTTACCAGGGGGGGCACGACATCCAATGCCCCCCCCCCTCGTGGTCTACGCCTCTGATTCCGACAGAAGCGATTTGGGGCTTGTGTAGACGCCGCGTCGCCATAACCGTAGCCCCACCAGGTTTGCCACAAGTGTAGTCACGTGACGCAACGTCATGACGTCACGTGACCAGACGTTAAGTGCTATCGCAGCTCCGTTATGCCCAGCATACCATCGTTGCTGATGACGGAATGTCTGAGCATAGCCTAAAAAATTCGTGCTAATTGTAAAAAAAAAAAAAAATTCTTACACGGGTGTTATTTTCGTGGAATTTACGGCATGCACGTGGAGGTAGCGTGAAGGTAGCCCTGCAAAGTTCGCGTGGCGCCCCCTTGCGGCGAACGGGGGTGGCGTCACGGCGAGGAGAGAATTTTTCTCCGACTCGCTCCGCTCTAGGGATGCCGCGAACCACCCTAAATTCGAATTCGAAAGATTTTGAAATTTTCGAACCGAAGTGATGTTCGAATTCGAAAGGTTTTGATATTTTCGACCTTACGGAGGTTCGAAATCGAAAAAATCTGAACTTTCCGAAATCGTGGGGTTTCGAATTCGAAAAGTTTGAAGCTTTCACGGTTTCTAAAAGTTCGGATCGATTTTTTCGAATATTTGTTTACTTGAGGTTCGATAAATTCGACGATTTCGAACTTCCCTAAATTGAAATTCGAGAGAATCGAATGTTTCGATTTTCTTTAAATCTAAAATTCGAAAAATCGAACGTTTCAAATTTTTAAAGACATAGACGTCAAAAAATCGAAGATTTCGAATTCCTTTCTACACAAAGTTCGAAAAGTCGAAGGTTTCGATTCTCTTTTAAGGCTAAATTCGAAAAAAAAAATCTTTGAAGGTTTCTAATTTCTTTGAAGTACAGCTGCGCAAAGTTCGAAGTCCGGTTTTCATGTTCCGCCACAGTTTCAGTCTCAAATAACGTTTTCACGCCTCACTGGTTTTCACGAAATCAGGTTTAGAAAAGTTCGGGTGTGGTATTTAAACTGCGCGAAGTTGGTCAGGCAATTAAATGAGACGAAGGGTGTCCAGGATGTGCTGGAATATTTGCCAGTGCAGAGTGACGTGTGACAAGAGATCAGTAATTGTGACCGCCAGCCCGGGGTGGTCATTAACGTGCATCACGAAGTAGTGATCCTACGAACGCACTGTTTAACGATACTCATCCAGTTCGAAACGGCCAGGGGCAGGCAGGTGGTTGGGGTTCAGAAAAACCTTGAAGCGATCTGGCAAACTGCCTCCCTACCCCCTTGCACGCTGGTAGTAATCCGATCGAACGCCGCCCGAGTGACGCTGGCATATAGTAAGTGTAGTTTGTACATGATGCAAAATCCTGAGACTGGGAATGAAATTTAAAAGAAAAAGTGTAAGAAGACAGAAAAAAGGGGACAGGACAGCGTCTCAAACTCAGCTCAGGACAACGTCTCAAACTCAACTCAGCTGAGTTTGAAACGTTGTCCTGTCCCCTTTTTTTCTTTCTTCTTACACTATTTCTGGTGAATTTCATTCCTAGTCTCCGGATTTTGCATCATGATCAACATACACCAGCTCGCCTGCACCTTGACAATTTTTTTGTTTTTAATTGCTTTAGAGGTTTATTTTCTGGGGTGGAACAAACGCCGAGCAAAAAGCACAGAAGCTGACGCAACTTGAGGTCGAGGAACGTTCTACCATACCAGTGGCGTCGGAAGAGGAAAAACGGGAGGGGGAGGGGGGAAAGGGGGGGGGGGGCTCCAGTCTCCCCCCCCCCCTTTCCCACATATTTCGAACTGCTAAAGAAAACAATACGGGGAAAGAGGGCATGGTCGAGCTTATCTCAATCTGAAATTATTTATGCATGTATAGCTATACTGCATGTGTATAGCTACTGTCGCTCTTCACTGCATAAAATATCGCGTGGATGGTCATTGTTAGAAACTCGTTGTCAGATGGCACTACTCGTCACATGCTCGGTGGCTCGGAAGTTCAAAGCTATGTCTTTTCGATCTAAATAACTGTGCCATTGGTAAAAAAATAATCAATAAATAAACATAACAATAAATGCAAAAATAAAAAAGCTGGAGAAAAAAAAAAAAAAAAAACTATCAAGAACCCGCCCGAAGTGTTGTATTCTTGTATATTCAGAGGCCCAGAACTATGAAACAAGTTTCTCCTACCAAAATTATATACAGGCTAAAAGAAACACGTCCAAAAACGTAAAATGAGAAAAAAAAAAGAATTATGGCGTGCTGAACTTGAACAATTTTAGAAATCTTCCCCGATGAGTTAATTTATTCCTCAACGTGTAAAAAAAAACAATAAATACATTATTTTGTATTCTGCAGATGGTAATGATATGTACTGCCTCTCAATTAAACAATGTAGGCGAAAAAAATTACCAAGTTTAGGGCATAATTGCCCGTAGGTACATGTTTGGATATTTCTTCGAAAGTCGTCTTGAACAATAATCATATCTTAAGACGACACCTACACTTTGCTATACATAGATCATTCTTAAAAGGTTTAACATCTCTACCAGAGATGGCAAAATTACTTTAAAAAGGTAATTGAATTACATTACTAATTACTTTTTTGAAAACTGTCAAAATGTAATTAAATTACATTACAAATTACCGCTGCCTGGTTGTAATGACATTACATTACAATTACTTTCAGAAAGTAATGAAATTACTTTGAAATTACTTTGACATTACTTTTGAATACCTCGAGGCAATAATTCGTGCTCATTTCATTTACCGTATACACCAGCACAGTGTTTACAAAACAAGCCCTCGTTTGCCCACACAGCGCGTGTGCAGGAACCAGATTCGGGAGGAGCGCAGTGCCGACAGCTGCGCCACCGCAGTGATGTGACGTCAAAGAGCGGAGTTGGTCTCTATGTACCAAACCTCAGACCTTCCTGTTTACACCGCAACAACCTTATGCGCCTCAAAGTGAACCATACTGAACAGTGGTTGTGATGGCGCACACGACATAAGTTTTTAACATGATGAATAGCTTCTTTAGATGTGACTCAGAAAGACAGTCGACTCACCGGTTTTGCTGTTTATTCAAAGGTGAACGTTCTTACTAAAAGGGTGATATGTTTCCGCCTTCCTGATTTAGAAGTTGTAGTCTGTGTCTGTTTGTTAAGTCGGGCAAAGGCAGCTCGTTCTTACAAGGAGTAGTCGCGTGAAATCTTTCCCTTCCGCCTCCGACGCAATCTAATTGTATTCTCCCGAGAGCGCTATACTCGGATATAACTTTTCTTGGCAATGGAGTGGAGAGGGTAGAGAGCCCGCGCCCTGCTTTATTCAGCGCTCAGAATGGGAGAGAGAACGCGTGCCTTTACCCTCCATTGCATTGCCAAGAAAAGTTGTCACCTAGTATAGTTGACTCATTCTCGGTCATTCCTTTCAAGGAGCATTTTCCGAAACACTCGAAGTCTCCAAGCTTTTGCGCAGTGTCACACAAAGGGCCCGGATAATTGTTAATCAGAAGCGTCGCCAGTTGGGGAATGGCGCGAGGTTTCTAAGTAGTGTACCTTCCCAACAGCGGGGGCGATATCTGCTTGTAAGCTTATTCCCGAATAAACTTCCCAAGGGAAGGCAGCGAGGCATATAGCGAGCGGCACCTGCTTTGCTCGAGGACGCACGAAACGTTCTCGGGCTTTGACAAGGTATTTGGAATTAACTCTTTATTCCGGTCGTTTGTTGTTCGCAATGGTCGAAGTTTACGGTTTGACCTTGCCTGACGAAAGTACAAGGCTCGATATCTATTTGTCCTGTCCTCCCAGGTTTAAATTATGTTTAACTCACTGGCGATATGCCCGTCGCCTTGCAGCCTATGAGCCGTTCATCCCTAAGTTGTCGCACTGTCAGCTTAGGGGTGAACGGTAGAAACGTGTTTGTTGGAGCAGTCAAACGTCTATTGTTTGCCACGTAACCACGCTCTCGTTCATACCCACGCGCAGAGAAAGGGACGGGAGACGTGATTAAAAGATGTTTGATTCGTTTTGGTTAGCTTGCAGCTGCAACATTACTGTCAGCTTAGGGATGAACGAAGTATAGTATCGACGTGATGACGCGACGCCGTGAATCTGTCGTGCCTGGAGTTCGTAAGCCATTGCCTTCCAGCGATGTCTGCACGTAAGTTTTTCTCCTTTGCCTTTCCAGCCCTTCTCTGTGTGTCTGTCCAGCTCTTCGTGCAAGGCTTTGCGCTCAGGTGGCCGTCGATTATTTCTTCTGGTGCTCTTTCACAACATTTCACCTTGCAAAATAATTTTTCTCTTCTTCCTTAAAGCTTGAAAAAAAATTTTATAATTTAGGGAAAAAGTAATTTTAAAAGTAATGAGTAATTTTTCGAAATTACCGCCTAAAAGTAATTCATTACATTACTAAATTACTAGCCTAGAGAAGTAATTCATTACCTTACTCATTACTCAAATAAGTAATTTAATTACTGTAATTCCATTACAGTAATGTCATTACTGCCATCTCTGATCTCTACCATAAATAGCTTCGGCTATAGCGCGCTTCAAATATGGCACAAACGACAACTGTTAAAACCCCGTCATCCTTCCTCGCTCCTTCGGGAATCTATTTATTTAAAACCAAGCATGCCAGATGATTGAAATAAACGGCATTGAATGCGGCACCGCATGTAAAATTGGAAAAAAAAAAATTACGAATGTACCTTACAGCTTGAATCCAAATGAAGCCACCCGCCGGTCTTTCGAAGTTCGACGAACTTCAAACTTTTACCCTAAAAGTTCGAAGTTCGTTGAACTTTTGACTTTATAGGAATCGAAAGTTCGACAATTTTCGAATTCTTTAGACTAATAAGTTCGAAAGTTCGAAAATTATCGATTTTTCTTAGCGTAGAAGGTCGAAAGTTCGAAAAGCTTCGAACTTTATGGTGCAAGTTGTTCGAAAGGTCGAAAATCATCGAATTGTTTTTAGACTATCAAGTCGAAAGTTTGACAATCATCGAATTTTGCAGCGTAATAAGTTCGAAATTGCGAAAAGCGTCGAACTTCCTAGTTTAATAAGTTCGAAAATTCGACTTCGGTCGAATTTCTCGACATGGAAAGTTCAAAAATTCGAAATCTTTTGAACCTTTCGAACCGCTTAAATCGATCATCGAACTTCGGTTCGAAAAAAGTTCGCGGCATCTCTACTCCACTCGCCCTGTGGACGCTGTGACCACGTTAGCTGCCGCCGCGCTCGTTTCTATTCAATATTTTTTTGTGCGTGTTTTTCGTAGGAAGTGTGAATTTTCATATGTGACTTTATTGAGGTATGGCCTGTAGCTGCAGGCAAAACTTCATCCAACATTTCAGGCATTGTTGACAGGCTAGGCAACGCATGAATCATAGCTGGTATATAAAATTGAAGAAGTATGGCCACAATTGCAAGAGTATCACTATAGATTTGCATCCCACACAATAAATGCTGCTGATAGTTTTAATGAATTGCCAGGTTATGTATACTATTTCATGATTTTTTTTAATCTCTGTTTTTAAGCAAGATTGTCGAAGCAGAAGAGCTCCAGGCTGCTCGAGCAACGTGTTAAATAGAGTATGGGCCATGGAGAGAGAATGACAAGTGAGACAGGCCAAGCACAGGGACAAAGTAAAAAAAAAGAAGGAACACTTCTTTATATACATTGCTCTCATTTGACCTTTATTGAATTCGGATAGTAGTTCAGTTCGGCGAGCAGCGGCCGCCGAAATTGAAAAAGTAGAGCGGCAGACAACGGATGAGAAGAGAGCCACGTGACGGGCGCCCCGCTGCGGCGAGACGCCGAAACACACCTCTCCCGAGCGATGGAATGTTCGCTCGTGCTCCTCGCGTTCCTCGCGCTACCGCTTATTTTCTCGTCTGTTTTAAAAACCATGTTTCGGGTCCTCATCCCTGCGAAAGCTGTGCGCTGACGTCAGGTTCCCCGAGAAAGGCTTTGTGCTACCAGATCCCCGCTCTGCCAATCTGCGACCGGGCACTCTATGGCTCCGTCGTCGAACTGCCAGGCCTTGTGAGAATAGAGGAGGCTATGCTGCTGCAGACTAAGGCACGTGCGGCGCGTGGAACACCATTCCCTGCATTCTCCTCGATGCTTGGGTAATTTAGCAATAGGTCTACTGAGTAGATTAGTTCGTAATAGGCACCATTTTCAAGATTAGTAGACTCTTAGGTAGATAATAAAGGTTTCTAAAAAATTTGCCTCTGTACGACTCGCGTCGGCCATGTCTACGCTCGAACCGCCCTTTTTTTTTGTGGTCGTTCCAAGCGCTTGCGTGCCTAGTTTCCTTTCCTTCCGCTATGCCGGGGTGGCGGTCTCGTCGCGCGTGTCTACTTTCCACCTGGTGGCGGTCCCGTCACGCGTGTCTAGTCTCCTCCGGCTCCACGGGGCGGGTCTGTGTCGTGTGCTAAACAGCTTCGCTGGTCATCCACCTTTGCAAAATGAAATGGCTCATGATTTGTTTTATTAATGGCTAATGCAAAAGCACAATCCGCCTGTTTGAAATCTTTTTTTTTTTTATCTTTCTCTCCCCTCCTGGGCCGACGAAACAGCGATAGAGTAAAAAAAATATTACTTTTATTTATAAAATAAGCAAATTTGTTATAAGGTGACAGTTTATTGCAGATACTGTAATTAAGAATGACATAGATTTTGCGAGATGCGTATACCTTTATTGAAATGCGTTCCTGCACCGTGTCGCCGTCTTCACGGAAGAATGTGAACCTGAATAATTTGAGAGCTGACAGATGCGATGTTTGGTTGACATGTTTTATTCGTCTCCAGTAACATAAAACAATCCTCTAAAACAAACGTACACAGACAGCAAGTCACTAAAACGACATACGGATGAGCAGGGCGATAGATACACAGCGCGACATTGTTAGCACGAACTCGACACCGGTGCTTTCCGCATTTTACTTCGAAAAAGTATGGCGTGGGCACCAATTATTACCGCTTAGGTTAGTGCCCCAAGGGAGCACTCTTCACCAGGCTAATAGTTTTTATTAGAGCCTTTTGATTCTAAAAGAAAATCAGAAGAAAGTGGTCATTATACTTGTTCGCACTAACCGCGTCCTTGGATGTACATCTAATACAAAACGCTATAACAAACAATACAATAGTTAACCGTGAAATAGAACCCTGCAAAAAATACGTGCCTATGAAAAAAAAAAGAAGAAATCCTTTAAAAATTTTTAAAATATTACAAGAGCGTGTAGGATCTTTTGTGCAGGCGCAGGGCTGATTGTCAGAATTGTCGTGACTTCAGAGTGTGCAGCAAAATTTATTATTGACCGTTGTTGAAAAAAAAAAAAGAAGGTAAAATAAGAAATGATTAGACACCTGGGACAAATTTTAGCGCACGCGCTTGTGTCTCTACTACTTTCTAAGCTAAATTGGAACCAACTACGGATTGGGAACGTCCGCGGGTGTTGGAGGTGTCGCACCGACCTTGAAATCTCTAATCCACCTATTTTAACTCGCAGAAATAATAAATTCTGAAAAAAAAAATGACATTTTAAGAAGTTATCATTGAAGAATTACCAGTTTGCATAGCAAGATGTTGACCCGTCAAACTGTTTAATGCGGCAGGAAAAGAACAGTCCCTAAATTGCGCTATGGCGAGTCACGTAAAACGTATAAGACGTACACAGCAGAGTTTTAGGCTCTTGTATATTCTTTGGAATCGAATCACGGGTTCGTCGTGAACCATGCAACAAATTCCAGCTTCCGATTTTATTCCCTCCTTAAATCTGTGGTGGAAAAAACAGAGTTCCACGTACTGTACACTTTACGTAAAAAAAAAAGCAAAAACAAATCTATAAATTTGGGTTAAATTCAAAGATACTTGATACAACACTTTTATGTACACGCTTGAAAATTATTGCTTTAAGCTTGCGAAATTCTTTAAAAAGGTAGCATGACTTTGACGTCATGTCATAACGCTATTTGGTAGAAAGTCGCATTTAACACTGTGCCATCAATTTATACCCGCTTTAACAGCAAATTCACCGGAGTGTTGAAATAGTTTTAGTGCATGTCAGCAGAAAAACAAAACAAAAGACAATACGGGCAAATATACATTTGATGTGACTGCGTCAATGAACATGAATAATGGATCTGAATCATGTTTCTAAGTGCTTCAGGAAGAAAACAAAGTGATGCATTCAACCATGGCTCGTCTGGCTAATCATTGGAATGCTTGAGGCTTTGATAGGTAAAATAGCTTAGATCTGCCTCTTTATGAGAAGTCCGAACAGTCATATAAAATGTCAGTGTTTAGATCCGCCTGTTTGGTTATTGAGAAGATCATGTCAAATCGCGTGATTAGACTTTGAATTATGTGAGTGACACATGTCCTATACCAACATCAAACATCCAGGAGACAGATCGCCAATCATCTAAAGAAAAAAGAAGGTTCAAAAAAGAGGAGATGGTCATGCTAATTTTTTTTTTCTCATGAAATAAGAACTTGGGTTGTAAGTTGCTGCAATAAACCAATCGACATACATCAGTCATTTTAATCTGATTAAGGCACAATAAATAGTATAATACATAAAATGATGATAAGATCGGAAGCTGAATAATAATACCTCTCAAGGGCAATGTGAACATTATTTTGCATGTTTCATATATCGGTTCAGCTTCCAGTAGACTTAATTTCTTGAAGAGAGACGAGCCAGTTTCGGATGAGCGACGGTTGAAGGTAAAACTAATAATATAGATATAACAAAAAGAAAACAGCAATAATAATATTAATAATAATAACATTAAACAGTAAGATGAAACGATCTTTGGCAGGCTTTGTCGCCGAGTGCGGAAGAATTTCCCGAGCAGCACAGGGAGTGAGGGAAGGCGCACACATCTTGGGCACTTGGACGATTTCGGTTTCGTTTTCGGGCTGCAAGATTCGTTGGTGCTTCGGAGTTTTCGCCGGCTGGCTGCGTTCGGGGAATCAGTTCTTGGAGTCGCCCAGCTTGATGCCTCGCATCTGGACGCTGTTCTCAACTGCAAGAGTGAGAGAGAAGAAAACAGCAGCGAGAACGTTACGACTTCCACTGGTAATGAGAAAAAATAGACCCGTTCGCGCCATCTCGTGGCGTCTGCGCCAACTACCCGAGTCCGCCATTGTGTGGGTGGGCACGCACTCATTGGATACGAATAGTCCGTCGGCGTTCGGCGGCCCGGCTCGCGTCGAGAACGAGTGTTACGTCAATGTTCGGCAAGGTCCCACAAAGCAACAATGGCGAGCGCCATTGTTGCTTAATAAAATTTTGTAAAAAAAAAAAAAAAAAAAAAAAAGGTAGAGGGTTCAATGGAAATGTACGAGTATGTTGTACACACCTAAAGACGCTCTTAAAGGTGTAAATGGACGATCAGTATTTAAAATGCCAACGCATTGCAGTGTGGCTCTTGCTTATTCGTATAATAAGTATTGTAAACTTCCAAAAAAAAAACTTTATACTAACTAAGGTTTTCATAAAGCCTTCTCAATTGCCATACGTGGTTTGCATGCAGGTAGGTCAAGACATTTTGATATCGTGAATAACTAAACATATTAATGCTTGTTTCATAACACCTCTAGTATAACAGTCGAATAACAAGAAAAAATTATTTTCAAAAAAGAAAAACATATTGTTGCTCTTTTTCTTTAATTCATCGTCCCTCAAACGAAATTAAAACGTAGATTTAAAGCTTAAAAGTTGTAAGTGCCGGCAAAATTGACTAATTGAATATTACTTTTTTTTTTTTTTTGGGGGGGGGGGGGGGTTGTTTTTGCATAATGTATTTTGATAGCTTGTTGTTCTGTTGTTCTTAGAGTTTGAAAAAAAAAAAAAAACTTTTCCAGATACTCACATTTTGTTCTAGCAATTACTATAAGGTTCGCGTGCTATTAGTTATGATATTGCTACTGTCAAGTTCAAGATCAGCATGGTTTGTTAAGAACAACTGCATAGCATTGATTCTTCTTTTTATGTTGCTCATAAGCATGCTCAACCCTGTATAGAGTGCCATAATTTAAGCGTGACTTACAGAAATAACACTCCAACCAACTAACTATACACCACCTAACGGCCATGGTGACGCACACGAATGTCAGTCCTACTAAAAGGGCAGTAGAGCTTCCATAGCGGCGTTAGATAATTCTGAAGTTCTGGTTCTATTTCTATTGTAGAGAAATTATAATAGTCCATAGAATTGCGCTACACGGAATATATATATTTTTGCGTTTAGAAATTTTATTATTTTAAACTTTTTTTTTGTTGCGTTTATAAATTTTACTAGTACGTATTTCAAAGCAAGCTGATTCATATAGAAAAGCTTTGTCTCTCTTGTAATTTACAAAGGGCTGTAACAAAGTCGGTACCCAAACGAAATATAACGGCGATATTCGCATCAAGCTTAGAAAACTGATTTGCTCGACAGCGAACGATCATTGCTAACCTAAACTTCTTGCGTCATTACCACTCCCGCGAAATCGATACAATAGTCAGACAAACATGCTGACAACAGCGCACACACATTCACTTGGACGGGACGAAATCCACAAGACGCGGGACATCCGCCATGCGACACATTCGTGACATGTGCTGTGTCATGTGTCATGTGACATATGTGTCAAGCTCGTGCTGTCACCAAGTGCTTCTCCAATCATTCGTAATCCGCATTAAGTCTTTTTAGCAGAACGACAAATGTAGGTTGATTAAAAATTAAAAAAAAAAAGAATAACAGTTCATATGACCTGATTAGACGTGTTTAGGATTTTACTTACATTCGCTATACATTCCATCAGGGCCATGTATGTCTGAAAAGTAAGGTAGCACGGTATACGTTGGTTACCCTAACCTTTGCCGAAATGTTTTATTCTTTTTTTGGTTTTATTTGTTTACATATTGGTTGTATCTAGTGTGGGGAACGTTCCCTATACCATTGTGCAACATTCCGGCTGAATTCAGGCCAGGAACATGTAATCCGTTCACTAGCAGTTAGTGCACAAACTCTTGCATGCAATATTTTCCCACGCGAGCCGTGTGCGAAAACATGGTTGCATTTAGAGCAGTGCGTGTCACCACGGAGATCGTTAACTTGAGGAGATATTTTCCGAGTGCTGGAAGCGTGTGCGTGACTACTCGCTATTTAATTCACCCAATAATTTCAGGGCTGCCTTACGTGATACACAGTTCCAACGATGATTGGAAACAGAATATAGTTCGAAACAACTGCCGCGGAAATAATAATTAAGATTAAGAGAGCGAAAGATGTAATATAGATTAAAGATTATATCACACGTTTCTTTTTAATAACATCAAGACCACGAAACATTGACACTTTGCTATGGCGTTGCTTCTTCTAAATACTATTAAATTTGAACCTCATGACACTAATAAATGCGTCTAGTTGAAATAATAAATCAGTGGAACATCGAAATCATATAGTAAAACTGCGGGGTACATGAGGAGGAAAAGTTACGGCAATTTTAAGTTGAATGTTTAGTTTCTGAGCTGCTTAGTTTAAGCTTGGAGCTCAAGACTGACATCGAATACGATCATGTGACTAGGTTCATAAGACCTCATGGTATTTCTACGTTAAAATATTCATGTTTTTAGGCTCTGAATTTTTTCTATGCTGCAAAACAGAACGTTCATACAAGAATATAACAATTATTCTACCTGGGGCAGAAGCCATTTGCGAACAAAGCCAGGGATAAAATCTTTAAAACCATTGCAGACATTATATCGGGTTAATCAAACTGAGCCGACGATCAGAAGGCAGATCTCGTGGACAACATATGCCAGCCGAAGCACGGGACTCATAAAACAGTATGCCACACATAGCGCATTGCGTCATCAAGTTTCTTCATTATGCCGACGACGAATCAATTACACTAAGTTTTCAACATGCTACCACTGTATACTCAAAGGACTTTAGAACGTTTATAACAGCAGACATACGAGTGTCCAGTCTTTAAGCGCACAGAACGATAACGGTACTGAGCTGAGAGGGCACCTGGAATATAACTCGTAATCGAATCAAATTGATTACGAAAGCCATCTTTCTTCTGCGAGGGCATCACCACTATACGCGCATGAGCATGCGATGGTGGTATTAAAGGTGGAATAAGACAGTTTCGACTCCAACCGGAGGTCAACACCTTGTTCCTTCTGCGAGTACACCACCTAGTCACTCGAAATGTCTTCAGGAATTCAACACAGAAACGGCGATAATAACATGAAAAAAATTGGGTTGTGTGTGTGTTTATACAGCCTAGAACTTGGTCTGCCTCACAGGGGCGGCGAGTCTCCCAGCTGTAGATGAGAAATTTAGCCAGTGCGGTACAACCGCTAGCCTGGGGTCTTTAACGTGCATCACGCAGTAGTGATGCACGACTGCACGCCGGTACGATGCTCATCCAGATCGAAACGGGCAGGGGTGGGGCTCGAGCCCAGGATCCCTGGGTTCTGCAGCGCGAGCTTTCGCTCCACGTGCTCCGAGCTGGTGTGCGCTAGACCACTCGGCCACCGATCCCCCCTTAATAACATGAAACGGGGCATATGACAGTGTCGAAACTTAGCTGAAGACCAAACTCATTCCGTTCAACGAACGCACGTATGACTCGAAGCCCACCACACGGAGATGTAGGTACAAAGACATCAGACGTGGCAAAACATGCGCAACACAGACTTCTGGCTCTGGGGGGACACACAGACCAGGGTTACCTTTAAGAGTGCGGGTGGCTCGGGACGGAATATGTGTGTGCGGGTGCGGACGCCGTTTTCAACAGACGTGGTTGACGGGTATGGCTCCTGTGTACCCACCGTCCTTGATGGACACGGGGTTGCCGCCGTCCATCTCGTACGTGGCACCGGGCCAGTGCAGCTCCACGGCGAGGGTGTAGATCCAGGCACCGAGGATGGCGCCCATGTGGGGTCCCAGAATGGGCACCCAGAACCAGTTGTAGTCCCGGAAGCTGCGGACAAACAGTCCATTTGTCGTTATGGACAGAGGTATATATGATATTGGTGGGTTTTAGGCATTCCTTTGCAAATGACACACCGTCTTGCAATGTGGACGGCTATCGTCTGCTACGGTAGTGCTCAAAAGTTGACTTTGGCCACGTGATACTCAAGATACGTTCAGGTGTTGCAAAATGTAATTTTTAGTACTCAAGTAATCATCAATAACAATCTTTTTGTTTAAGTGAAACTTGACAATCAAGTTTATTTAAATGAATGATCCACCATTGAGCTCACTGCTCTCTCAAATCAGTGACTCCAGGGCGACTTGCGCGACCAAAAACATCACCGTGGTCGGCCTTTCACGAATGACCAAGCGCTTACTATGGCATTATTAGAGGGATTAACTGTGGCTTACACAACGGAAATAAGAGCAATGTCCTATGTCAACTTTGCCGGCGTTTGTTTAAAAGAGAGGTGAACCTTCTTTCGTGCTTTCTTAAGCACGCCATTACACTTGTTGCTCGCAACTAATAATCTTGGTCGTGTTGTCACGGTGGAACCGTAAGAGTGTGCCAGCTCAACATCCCGTTGCCTATATCAGAATGTACCTGTATATTTATGCTGAAATACAACTCGTGTAGTGTACAACAAGCCTCAGCTAGGGTGCCTTCATGTGCGCTTTGCTTAGGGTGGTGGCATCTCGCCATTTTGTCCCACACTTTTATTTTTATTTTTTGTTCAGAAGCGCGTGAAAGAGCGTGTCCCTGCGCGCGTTTGTGGCGCTGACTGTGCTATGGCGACATTTTGTTTTCGTCGATTTCTTTGTATTTTCCCCGTGAGCGCGTGCTGTCGGCATCGGCTACTACAAAGGGTGGCATCACCCTAAACAGAAGGACATTGAGGCACCCTAGCCTCAGCGTAGCCCTCCAAAATTCTCTGCTGGCACAAGCACACGCACAAGTGTAAAAAAAGAAAAAAGAACTTCGGAATACGATCGGATATGACCGTTTTAAGTGCTACGCCTCCACACAAGGTGGCGGACCTCACCTGAAGACCTCGCCGCCCCAACCGGCCATGGCGGTGAAGACCCGAGGCGCGAGGTCCCTAGCCGGGTTCAGGGGAGCCCCGCAGTTGTAGCCGAAGCTGAGGATGATGGCGGCCAGCGCGAAGCCGATGAACAGCGGCTGGACACCCTGGGGCACCGCCATGTTGCGCGCGTCCGTGATGGCCAGGATGCAGAGCATCAGCAGCGCCGTGCCCACGATCTGTGGTGCGTGCCAGAGGATAAAAATGGCGTTATTGGGGAGTAGCAGTGTGCCCAAAGTACAGAGTATAGCCAACTACTTGATCGGCGTCACGTGGTTTATTCGCCGCGTTTGCAGCACGAGCTGCGAGAGGGTAATGGAAACGTTGATCGTCTTTGAGCGTTCTCGGCTTTCCACCCGCTTTCCTACTTACCACGCAACAACTCGGCGCACGCACACTTGTGACCAGTTTACTTAGGAGGCGTACGCCATTGCATTGCAAGCACTCTCCATGGTTTGAGGTGATTTGCTCCCTAGAAAGCCTAAGGAGTCTAGGGAACCTAGGCTCCCTAGGAAGGGGATTCATCTGTCGCGGCCCTGCCGGCTAAGTTGAGAACTAAGCCCATAGAGACAACAGCAGCATGGATGATTTGTTTTTGTTTCTGATGCAGCCTTCGGCCAACGCAGACGAACGCTGTGTCCGCGTTCGGCTGGGGCTCGGGTTCCGCCAGTGCAGCACCAGTTGAACACGAGTCCCAACCGAACGCTGACGCGGTACTCGTGCCCAATCTGCGCTCGACCGAGGGAGGTGGCATAAAGAATACAGGCCACGGGCCTTGTTTGAGTTAAACACCGAGCTCAGTAAAAAATAAGCTGGACAAAGCGCTCCCAGTAGTTCGATCTCATTGCCAATAGGTTCATTCTTGGACACGTTTGGAAATACGACCTCTGGGCGCCGCCATCTTGCTGATGGTCTGTGTAGATCATAGAGGTAGGAAGCCTCTGGAGGCAGCATGGCACCACCAGAGGTGAAGCCAGAAGTGTGGAAAGACACATCCCCAAATGATGACGCTGTGGCCCGAGAATGATCAAAACAGCTGTTGGCGTCAAGTCGGCTCTCCTTTTCGTTCAATGGCGTCTCTTGCTTTTGTTGATCGTTGGGCGCGTGTCCTTCCACATTTCTGGCCTCACTTCTGGTGGCTGCATGTCGCCTCCAGAGGCTTCCTACCTCCATGGTGTAGATCGTCCGGTAATCAAGCTTCGCTAAGGCCTGCCCACGGTTGTCAGACCCCAGCAAAGCGTTTTCCACCCACAGTGGCCAGACTAGCTTTTGAAACGTGGCTGCTCGCAAACGGAACACTAAAATAAAATAAAATAAATAAAGCACGAAAATGGTTGGAGTTGGTAAGAACCCGAAAATGAACCTCATGGACGATTCAGACTCTGGAGCTATCGCTTACACGAAACGTGACATAAAAAAGTCCCTCGATTTGACGTGTGGCGCATGATCTTCAACAGTCTCTCTGAGTCATCTCGTTCGTGGCGAAAGAAAATTATACAACCCAAAGGTCAGGTGCGTTGGCTTGTAGCCCTTAAAAACCTGAGCTCTCACTACACGAGTAGCGTGAGCGACTATAACGGGATTGACCTTGGCCTTGGCTTTCTGTCGGTGGCGGGGAAACAGAGCACATCGTTTCTGTCTTACACTGCACTGTCACGGACGATGGACGTTCAAAAGATTCGGGCTGCTTTACGGTACGCCTTTGTTTCAGCGTGTTTCCTTCGTACCTGGTCGACGAGCCCGTTTCCGGTGCTGAGGAATTCCTTGGGATAGGATGCGAAGATGCCAGCGGTGCCGTTGACGCCGGTGACGATGCGATTCCCGCCATCAAAATTATCCAAGGCACCTGGAGGAAAATTTGGTGCGTTTATTAAACGCGCCAAACTTTGGCGCGTTAAACTACAAGGAAAAATACACCCATGTTAGGCTAGTTTAATGTAAAGATCTTCACCTAACGATTTACTCGTGTTTGTTTACTTACTTACGTTTGGCTTTTTCACACACAAAAAAAAAAGAACAACAAAAAAAACCGGATACTTCAAGTAATTAAATAAAATAAAAACCTGGAACGGCTTTAAAAGTTCAGATGTCCAGACAGAGAAAAGATCACAACGACGTGAAACTTTAATTCGAACCAAAATATTCAGCCAAACTGAGACTTAAGTTAAACCGAGAAAACAGCCGAACTATTGCAGAATCGAGTGGCTCACTATGACGTATTTTTCCGAAGTACAACATGAAATAACATAACTGCAGTGACGTTTCCATAAAAAAGTTGTTTTAAATTTCTACACGGTTTAGTAGTTAAAAGGGGGGGGGGGGGTGCAACGATTTTAAGATTAAAAAAATTTGCATCTCGTCATTATTACGTTGTTTATCGTGTCCCGGGGGGGGGGGGGGGGGTGCAACGATTTTAAGATTAAAAAAATTTGCATCTCGTCATTATTACGTTGTTTATCGTGTCCCGGAGGATAGAGAAAACATCTCCCTCACTTAAAAGAAAAAAATGTCGCGATTACGCTGCATAATCGCCAAGCAAAAGTCGAGCTTTTTCCCCCACCTGCAGCCGCGAGTGGCAGTCGAAGGAACTACGTCGAGAAGATTACGTGACCTCGCTGGGCTCTAAGCTGCAGCATAACGCCCGCTAATGTCAGCAAAGAGAAGGAGAGGAAGCATCCTCCAAGAGAGCACGCGGGAGCTTAAACGGCACCCCGAATTACGGCACCAGGAGTGGCACCAGGTGAGACCCTGAAGACTGGGGGTGAGTTGAGGGGTGCCAGAAATGCCAGTATTTATCTTTTTATTATTTTTTATTTTTTACACAACAACTACGACACGCAGGCAAAATTGGTTTTCAATGCTTTACATTAGAGGTGTCAGAGGGCAATTTCCACAGATTTTTGACCAAGTCCGGAAATCGTTGCACCCCCCTTTAAGAAAGCTGATAGTTTGAGGTCACACGTCCACTGCCGATGCGCGGCTTGGTACATAGAGAATACAACAACCATAAACTGATGTTTGCGATCCAATGTGGAGCGCAAGTTCGTCTGCTTTTTACGTAGGGGTCGCGATGATGTCAGAATGCCGAGCTCTTATTGGCTGATAAAAAAAAAGATAGTGGGTAGACCACAAGACATCTAGCATTGATGCCTACCCACAATCCTTCCAATCAAAGCCAATCAAAACTCGGCGTCGTTTTGACGTCACCGCATCCCCTGCTCAAGAAGCAGACGACACTTTCCCTCCGCATAGGTCGGCGTCCCAGTAATATCACGCACCGTGTGCAAAAGATCCTTTAAAAACCTCCTCAGGCAACACCCGTAGTCGCCATGTTTTGATCATAGCTTCCAGAACGAAGCGTGGGATTGGACCCGAGTTCATGTGGAACGGTGACGGCACACTCCCGATAAAAACTCAGTGTGCACGGCCAAAATATGGCAGCTTCGGATACTTAATGAGAAGCTACAAGGTGCAGTAAAACATTTGTAAAGGGTGATAAGGTCACACCCGTCGCCGGTTTAAGGGAGAACAGCCACGTACATCCCTCCATTCACAGATACATCGGTCTTTTCAAACCCATCTTCGGCAAAGGAGGCATTGCGTGGCCGTGTAGGTATGCTTCGTTTCACCTTACGTTCGAACGCATCCGAAGTTACGAGCAGATGAGACCAATCACACAGTGTCAAAAACGCACCAAAATGGCTGTCGTCATGTTTCTGCACGTATTCTATCGTTGCTGAATCAATCATGTTCAAGAAAGAACCGATGGCTGACGCTTCTTACACTGCTTTATCGATTCCATTAGCCCGTAGCGTCTGCTGCGTCTGAACTAAAGGTTAACCGAAGTATGGGGCGGAGCGCAAGTTCGCCTGCTTCATGCACAGGGGGTTGCGGTGACGTCAGAAAGCCAAGCTCTTATTGGCTGATTAAAAAAAAAAACAAAAAACAGTGGGTAGATCTTGAGGCATCTAGCATTGAGGCCTACGCACTATCCTTCCAGCCAAAGCCAACCAGAACTCGGCGTCGTTCTGACGAGAAACCGACGACTTGCTCTTCGCATAGCTTCTGTAGCTCGTTAGCACTTGAAGCGAAAGCTCGGGCTGCAGAGTCTAAAGCATTAACTTGGTCAACCTTTTACTTGGTAGGTCCTTCGCATGCGCTCGCCCTCGTGCCACACAGTTTACGTTTGACTAATAGCACTAACCTCGATAAGTGATGAAGAGGACGACGGAAGCGATGAAGGCTCCGATGTACTGGGCGAGCACGTAGGGGACAATCTTCCTCCAGGGAAACTTGCCTATCGTCGTCACAGCAACCGTGATGGCCGGGTTCAGGTGAGCCCCTGCACCGTTAAAAGAATGCGGGGATTAGTGCTAACTAAATAATGAAGACACAGAGTAAGTTTCACGTAACACTTGCATGACGTTAATCTTCCACCTTGTTGGACACTTTCGCAAGGCTACACTTATGGTCTCACGGCGGCCATCTTGAACAAACCGTCCGTTCAACCACTCATTCGTGTTGTTGATGCAAACAAGGATTCAGTTTCAGAGTAAGCATGCACGCTCTCAGCCCGCGCTCTTCAAGACAGTACCAACACAAGAGTATGATGAATGAGATCACCCGCGGCTTGAGTATAACTTGGGGTAGAACAAGAAATGCAACTGTGAAGGAGTGAAATAGGCGAGATTGTAGTTTGCCACAAGCTTCATTTCTGGTTTCTTGACATTCTGGTTACTCCACACGATTAAGGCCACACAGGAGGTTTTTCTACACTCACTGAGAACCTAAGAGATGCAGGACGTGGCCTTTGCTTTGTGGTTGGGTCTTCGGCGTACTTATCTCAATCTGATTGGCTGGATGATAAGATCTTCGGGACTCCGTACGCCCTGCGTTTCTTAAGTTGTAATTTACTATATAAAAAAAAAAACAAGATCTACTGGTCACCAACGTAAGCTTTACCAGCGCTCGTGAGTGTGACGTGGTTGCCTTCGGGTATTCATGATAATAGAACAAAAAGAAGGGAACTTTTATTTATTGGTACTGAAGAAGACCAGTTTTGGCGTTGCAGATTCGCATCTCTGAAGAATAATGCTAAATGCCGAAAAATATTTGAACTATGAGCTATCGAGGGTCGGCCATCATTGAAGTCCGGCAGTTACAGTCCTTCCTCCAGAATCATCTGCACTCCTAATCACATGACCAGAGAAGCGTGACTAATACGGTGGTGGGCAGAAATCAGCGACACTTCCTGGTCTGGGAATTGTCTTCGCGGCCTCTTCAAAATAGCTCTCAACAATCGCAGCGGGAGGAGGGGAAAAAAAAAAAGAAGGCCCCGAGAGCGTTGTCTATCTCCCACTGTTTACTTGAAGTCGCGTAGTAGGCCATACTTGAGGGAGCGTCAAATGTTTGGCCGACGGTGATGATGACCCATTGTGAAATCTTTGGCGCGCCGAGTTCGTGGTGTCATCAGTCTCAGATCTTCCTTGGCCCTCACTGTTTTCAGAATTTGTTGCGTGACGCATTTAGAAAGCGAAGCAATCGGGAATGGACCTAACGGAAAGTTCGCGTCACGTACGGGAACTTTGTGAGTTTTGCTGCAGTTGGAGTGTGAACGTATTCTGGCTTGTACGTGACGTCACTGCACCATGCTGGTGGTCATTCCTACTGGTTCTTACATAGAAAAGACGAATTCGATGGCGCGAAATGCATGCTTCTGAAGGTACTACGCTCCCAGCAGCGAAGCCTCTACAATGGCAACTGATTTGAATTCAAAGCAAGCCATGTATTGACAAAAGCATAGGTTCTAAAACGACCCAGTTATTGTCTTTATTCGGTAAAAATTAAAATATTGGCTGCCATATCGCTGTGGGCTGCTACTGGAGTATGTGTTCTCCAGAGTTTCTCTCGTGTTGTGGAGAGGCCCGCTGGTGGATTTAGAGCTGGTTTGGATCGCCATGACGTGTTATAATTTGTTGAGTAGCGCTAGCTAGCAATGATCTTCTATTCGTTTATGTTTGTCAGCGTTTTTTAAAATTACACTAAAGCAAAACGTTGCAGAAAAAAAAACAAAAAAGAGGTATAAGAAAATGAAAGAATGAATAAAATGATACATTACTAAACTGTAACTCGATGTATGCAATGTTTGTGGGCGCACGAGAAAAATCGAGTGGCTTTTCTAATTCCCCTAAGTTTCCGAAAGCTTTCTTTATTACCGAGAAATTCACTCTGTTTATCACGGTTTGATATATTTTGAACGGCCTTTTCACAATTGCCGTCGTTTTCACACCTCCCAATTGCCTATTGCTTTGGCAATGACTATGCTCGTGTTTCGCCATTACTCATCATCTTTGAAAGCGAGATGGTACACGGATTGATTGAACAATAGATCTGCATGTTACGTAGCTCCTACTATGCTGTATTCAGTCCGTGAAGCCGAATATGGTGCATAATTTACGCCGTTAGCTTCCTATTCTTACCGAGTCTATCAGGTTTGGGAAGAAAGGTTTATGCGAAAGCACGTGTATATGCCAAATAACGCCGCTGCTGCGAAGAGTGATTTATTGACTCTTTGTTCGATGCCTCGGGACGTCGATTGAGACTTTGGAATGCGATGGAAGAAGAAGGCTCAATACAACCTCGTTTGAACAATGGGGACTTGATGGTAATCTATTATGGGCGGGACTGAGAGCCGGCTTGGACAAAGCTGCTGTTTTAGTCTCATCTTTTGTTTTGCTTCTTCGTTTATAGAGAGTACTAACGTTTCTGATAGAGCTGCTGCGCTTTATTACCGGAGCTGTATTTAATTTCAGACAATAGCTATACGACACCGTATATATTTTTTTAAATTAATTTTATCTCCTTGAAATCCCATATGGGTGAAAGTATAGGTGATGATGTGTATGAATTAGGGGTCTCCAACTACCCTTACCCTCAAAAAGTTGAAAAATATACTCGGTATATATCAGCCTATTGTACGTCTTGTTATGTGGGGAAAAAGCCTCGAAAATAATTGGGGAACCATATGCATGCACTGATCAAGTCTGCGAGATTTGCATCACATGCAGCAGCTAGAGTTGCAGACGGTCAAGCTCGCTGTCAGCTCCGCCTTCCATGACTTGGCGTTGTCTGGAAAGCCGCGGACATGCTGCCGAAAAGTCATGCAAAAGACACTCTACAGGCACTCTCTGAGGCATGTTGCTATGGCTGTCTTCACACCTTGGTCACACAAAAGATTGTCTGAAGACATGCTCGATCACATCCGTACGAAGTGTATCATGCTTCCAACATGCCTGAGGCATCTCCGCGGATGATTCTCTCATCGTATTTACGGAGAGACTCCGTGACTCTTGTATGATGTATGGGCAGTGCGGAATCCGTCTTCGACCAGTTGATTGCCTTGTTTGCCGTAAAGGACGCCCAAGTATATTCATAACGAGCAGATGCAAAAAAAAAGAGCATTATTTGATTTGATTTGATTTTCTTACCGGATGCTCCTCCGGCGACCAGGACTCCGAGGGTGAGGGCCAGCCCCCATCCCCAGAAGCAGGCTGCCAGGCCGTCGGTACTGGCTTTCTCGAAGGTCAGAATCGCCAGAACGGTGTTGCCGAAAAGCTGCATGGAACAGAGCGCAGATTTTAATTATTCGTAACTTTCAAGTTTATTTTATTTACTTTTTTAAATAAAGGAAGTAAGAGAGAAAAGAAGTAGTACAAAATTCTTTGACGAAGTCCTCCTCCAGAGACAGCTGGAGCAGTCACCAAAATCAAACAAAGAGATATAGCAAAAATGATTGCAGCGTAAACGGATACATGGTAAACTCTCACTACAATCAAATTATAGTAATAATTAGAGTTTTCTTTGAAACGTTATCATGTTCGACATCCACTGACAAATCATTTGCCGCGCATATCGTCATGGGGACATTAAAAAAATGAATTTCCTGGTGTCTCATTATAAAGAGCTCACCCGTGCATTGGGGCTTTACAGAAAAAAAAAAAAAAAACAGTTTGCCACCTAAAAAACCTGAGACATAAAAAAAAAAGTGGACAGCACCAGGTGTGTTGAGATCGGTGTAAGTGTTGTCCACTTTTTTGTTCCCGGGTCTCGGGTTTTAGAGACGTTGAAAGTTCACCAGCTCGCCTGCGTGTCCTTTGTTATTTCTAAGCACTTTGAAGCGTGAAGCAACTAAGTGAAAATCTTGCTCCAGTCCCTTGCCCATTACCCTTTTGAGCCTCGTACTCACAGAGTAGAGAGCCGGTATGTTAATTTGTGCACGGTGTGCAACAACTAACTCGCTTCATAAAGTAGCGCATATGGCGGGATTAACATGGCATCTTCAAGTTCGTCCATACGCCGTCGTTTTATGCCCTAACACCTGCGCTGCCACGCCAGTCAGAGCAGTAGAAAATGTATTTACCGGTATAAAACTAAAAAAGTTTTTTTTTTTTTTTTTTGGGGGGGGGGGGGGGGTGGAAAGCACTTTTAAGGAAAGTAGGTGACCTTGCTTCCAAACTCCGTAGTAACCTCAGTTTTTACATCTTTACCGCATAAACTAGTAGTGGGTAGGAGTACAAAAGAGATCAGTCTAACGTAACTATGACTGACGAACGTTTTCAAAACTCGTTTGTTTTGCAGTTTTTAACAAAACAAAAAACATCGTACGGTCGACCGGACGCGAAACACACTGGACCATAATGGAAACCGTCATCAGCACACAGGTCTTGGCCGTTACCGTTCGATCTCGGCACCTCCTTCATCTCCGTTAACGGTTCCGTTTCGATAACGGGGCCAACTCTATCCTTCCGATCTGCTGAGAAGGCACATTCATCAAGGAAAGGCCACCACTGGTTGCTCTGCATTAGCTTACAACCCCCTCCCCTGAAATCCGGAACGCTGCCCTGCTAGGTGCACACTTGACTTGAACAACTGGAAGAGGGAACGGAGGGAGGGGCGTTCAAGGCTGCCCTCTGTCTCTCTCTCTTTCCTCCTCTCCCCTTAATTGAAAAATGAGACCGCTATTAAAACCCGTGCTGCGCGTTACGCGAAAGACGATTATTACTGCCGGTCATGGGAGTTCGTTGCCATCGATTTTTTTGGCGGCCGCGTGCGGCACAGCCCCTGATCAAAGAGAGAGCTATCACGAACATGGACACGAAGCTGTTTTGTCATCGATAAATGCACTTAGAAGAATGATAAGAAGTTTCACTGTAGTCTATCGTAGTTTTCGCATAGCAGGACAAGCCTTCCGCGATGTTTCTTAGTCTCTGCTCTCCAGAGTTGGTTGTTTTCTTTTCTCCACTTGCCTTCGCTTTGCTACAGATGACAAATTGGGGGGGGGGGGGGGGGGGGGGGGGCGGCTTTTTGGAAGGAGTTTGCCCTGCTATTCTTAACCTGCAGCAGGCCATTGGGTCAACGTTGCCGGTAACATGTCAACGCCGCAGCGCCAGTTTCCGCTTCGGTATAATCTGTGGTGCCACCCCTTCAGGGCGGACTGAATTTCCTATGTGCATAAACGTTCTTTAAAACGAATTTGCGTTTCACTCTAATATTTTTTTTTTAAATTTTATATCTAGCGGACGATAAGATTGTCTTAGCTTGTCACTACTTGTCTCCGCACGAACGTGCGTTACTACGATGCATGTTCTCACCACTTCCGATAACAGAAACAGTATCAGATATACGTATGTTTACACCAAAAAATATCAACTTCCCTGGAAACACAAATCCCTGGAAGTCTTCGTTGTTTCGTATCGAATCAACTGAGACAGTTCCATTCCGCGCGCTTGGAGTATGTTTCGTAATAGTCAAACAATGAATCCCCGAGCTACCGAGATGCAGCTTGTCAATTCGCCACGCACAAACTGCGCATAAAAAAAACATTTGTGACTTGCGCAGTTTTCGGGTCAGAAATAATGCTAAAGTGTAGCCGTGTGTAGCTGTATGTCGTGGGCCTCCAACGAACACCTCCAGCTGCCGATCACGTCGACTGCGTCTCGGAAAATTCAGAGCTCGCGTGAGCTTCCGCGGGCAGCAACGCCGAACGGTTACGCTCCGCCTCGCCTAACGATGAAGCGCAACAGACGCCACGAGAGATCAGAACCAATCCAATGACACACGGGCATCCATGGCATTAAGAAAAAACGCAGCTGCGGGCTACTGGTCACGTGACGAGTTCGCGAGACTTGATTGGCTGGGATGGCCCCGAGGGTCCGCCGCGGTCCATCAGCAAGTGAAACGGAGCAGTGAAGATTTTTGTTTGGGCTTTTGCCGATCGCTTCGATCGAGCGTGGCGCGGATATCTGCTGTCTCCCCGCGTATACGCGAGGGGGACTATGCATGGCCGAGCGGGCATTTAAGGGCCGTTTAACGAAGGCTATTGAACAGGCATTAATGGCCGCTAATTGTGGGACTCGGCCCGCTCGGCTCCTCCCATATCGTTGCGACTTTGCGGCGGTCTTGAAACGCGCTCATTGCTTATTCATTCGCACACAAACCCTCCCTCTGTCGAAATGTTTAAACTGCCTTTGCTGTTGTTGTTTTGGTTGACCAGTATAAGATGTGTGTGGTCGAACCTCGTACCTTGAGCTGCTTCTACGGTGGCGTTCAATTCAATCCCGAGCGTTACAGTTCCGCAGCCCATGAAATGGCGGTATTTAACGGTCCGAACGCCGATTAACCAATCATAAAGCGAGAAGTGTGGACATATTGGGCCATGACTATATATTAAGGAGCCACTGAGAGCCGAAAGAAACGAGAGAGTGTTGCCGATTATTACGGCGTCGTTGCTTCCCGATTGGCTCCTGGCGGTCCTTATCGGGCGGTTCTGAAATCCGATTGGTTGCCCCGTCATGAAGCGATGACTGAAACTGGCCACGCCGTTTTGTACCGGACCTGTCGGTGATCGAACTAAATGATGTTGCCGTGGTCCCGGACAAACTTGAGACACTTTATGACGTGGCTTGTGATGCTTACGCTTTTCGGTTCGTGGTCCGTTCTTCGGCGTTCGTTTATCGGCCTATGCCGCATTCTCACCCGCTGCAGAGTCATAATACGACGCTCGAGACTTGCCACGCCTCGAGTTTCTTAAACTGTTAGTGAGTACACCTGCGACTGCGCGGAGGGGCCTCGGACCGACTCTATGCATACTACAGAGACTTCGTTCCACATTGTTTCGTAGATTCCCAGCTGCTCAGTCACCTTCCACAAAAAGGCGTTTGGGGGCGTCGGTATACGAACAGCGACAAAGTAGAAGCCCTCCTTGAAATCGGTGACTCAGCTCCCCTCTTTGGATTGTCCCTGACCTTTACCTGCGCTTTGTTCTTCAAACGCACGCAGAGGGACGTACCGCTCTGTTTACACTACAAGAGTATCACGGTGTGTTCTAGCTTTTGCGAGCGAAGCACTATACGGTTTAAGTACAATACAGCGGAAATAAATTGCTCGGGCCTTTGAAGCGTGCTTTTAAGCGTGCGCCCGGGTGGTACCGTCCGGTAGTGCGGTACGCGAAGCACGGCAACGGTTTGCTAAAGGTCCCGAGAAAAAAATCCCGAAACATGACGCGAAACTGCGGATGCGAGGTGCGCGTGCGGGGTTTGAGTCAAAACTCCCACGAGCCGACTCCACTGTTTTTACCATCCGTTCCTTCGCGGCTACGAGTCCAATGAAAAGAAAGATTCTGCGCGTTCTGAATGTCGCCGTGTTAAATATACTCGAATACATCCTTATACCTAGAAGTTGTGATTGGAGGGTATTTGTTAAGCTCGTTCCCTCCGCTAGGAGAATATTTGTGGCTAGTGGTTGGTCACAAGAGCTGTCAATAATCGCGCCCAAGGTCATTAAGCAATTTCAGCCAATGACGTGTCCTTATTTTCGCCATATTTTTACTAATTAATGATCAAACTCTCTGCACAAGCGACTCTGTTTACTCCCTATACCGCCGACGCCACATTGTGCACGTTCGTTGAAACATCGCAGAAGTGACGACGAACCCCCATCAGGAAGAGCGCTTTCCGCCGCAGCGAGCGACCCCAATACTTCAACAAGCACCTGCCAGGCGGCGCTAAAAGCACGGAGCGGCGGGAAACGGGACCGATCAAGGACCGGTCCCATGGCGAACTTCCAAATTGCGTGTGATCACTTAGCGCTGTCATCGTTAAGACCGCCACGAAACCCTGTAGGGTCGTCTTCCTCATTGGTTGCTTACGCCACAGTGATACACAGACGCTTTTGTGCCCAGGCCTGGTGCGACTGCAGTACATCGCAGTATAAGAACTGCACAGGAGACTCATTTCCGAACTCTTAGGGAAAAACAGAGGCGTCACTCGGTAGGAATGCATAATCTTTATGACGTCACAAAAAGGAGAAAGCGTCTGTCAGCGAACGTTTTTGTGAAGATTAGAGCCCAGAAAAACAACGACTCCACCTAAATGCCCAACGCGCCTCTGCGCGTTGGACATTGAGCGGAGCGTTGTTTTTGTTAGTGGAGTATCTCCCGCAGTTCTTAGTTTGATACAGGCTATTGCAAAAGCGCTACTGCACTTTCTCAGGCCCTGTGGTGGGACGCCATTCCGGAAGGGTAGCCTTGATATATCCTTCCACCAAATAACTAGACC